TAGGTTTATCTGGGTTGCTGGGCTTTTAAAATCAGCCTTTGACATTTCCAACACATGGCAGGTGAGCCTACAGATAGCTCTGTGGACTGCAGGTTCTCTGGGCAGAATCCAGATGGGCTTTCAGCATGTATTTATGGGAGTGAAGTAAACTATTTCTTTATATTTCTTACTCCTTCTATGTGCCTTTGTTTCCAGGTGTGCATGTTTATACTGGCCATCCTATGCACTACAAAAACATTGACAAGTGGTCCTCAGCTTGGGCAGCATGTTGCAGTCATGGAGGGAATATGAAACAGGCTAGTGGCCAGGCCTCACCCCAAGCTCCTGGTGGAGCTGGCCTGGGCATGGAGTTCTGGAAAGCAACTCAGATGATGCCAACATAAGCCCAGGTTTAGACCACTGTCCCAGACACTTCCCCATCATAAATCCTGTATCTGCCCTATTGCCTTAGAACAGAAGTGAATGTTAATCATTAAGAAGTGGGAATAAGGAATCAATGTAAAGGCAACGCCCTGACAGTACTAGGCTCAAGCTGACCTCCTGGATGCTTTCATCCTCCTAAAAGGGGCCTGTTATGTTACTCAGGGGTCTTTCTGGGTGGGAAATTCTATGGAGCTCCAGGAGGATTAAACGACCTTGATGCAAAATGCCAGAGAGTCTTGGTAAGGTGTTTTTTTCCTGAATGTGCCCATCAGATTACATCCTTACTGAGGCTTAATGCCCAAGAGTCAGGGGACCTGACTGGAAAGTTTCTTCCCCTTCAATACTTACAGAGGTGGGTAGAGAGGGGCCTCATAGCAGATTTGAATCCCAGGAGAGGAAAACATCCTCATTTAGAAAAGTTTAAAACCCAAAGCAGATGGCTTCTGATATCCACATCAGGAGCATAGAGTTAGCGGGAGAACGGGATATGGGACTGAAGGCCCAGAGATACAGGACTAAAAGACATCCCATGTCTTTGAGGTTGATGGAGAGGAGAGATAAGAGTGACCACATTATGGCAGGGGAGTGAGATTAAGAACCTTGGGAAAGGTGAATGGACCTAGAGACTGTCACATTGAGTGAAGTATCAGACAAAGAAAGAGAAATATCATATGATATCACTTATATGTGCTTATTTAAAAAATGGTTCAAATGAACTTATTTACAAAACAGAAATAGAGTCACAGATGTAGAAAACCAACTTGTGGTTGGTTACCAGGGAGGAAGGTGGGGAGGGATAAATTGGGAGATTGAAGTTGACATATACACACTACTATATATAAAATAGATAATGAAGAAGAACATACTGAACAGCACAGGAAACTCTACTCCATACTCTGTAATGACCTACATGGGGAAACAACCTAAAAAAGAGTGGATATATGTATATGTTGGACAAGGAAATGGCAACCCACTTCAGTATCCTTGTCTGGACAATCCCATGGACAGAGGAGCCTGGTGGGCTACAGTCCATGGGGTCACAAAGAGTTGGACATGACTGAGTGACTAATACACACACACATGTATATGTATGGGATTCTAGGTGGCACTAGTGGTAAAGAACCCGCCTGCCAGTGCAGGAGACATTAGAGACACAGGTTTGATCTTTGGATAGGGAAGATCCCCTGGAGGAGGGCATGACAACCCATTCCAGTATTCTTGCCTGGAGTATTCTTGTACTTGCCTCCAGTATTCTTGCCTCCATGGGCAGAGAAGCCTGGAAGACGACAGTCCATTCAGTTCAGTTCAGTCACTCAGTTGTGGCTGACTCTTTGTGACCCCATAGACTGCAGCACGCCAAGCTTCCCTGTCCATCATCAACTCTGGAAGTTTACTCAAACTCATGTCCATTGGGTCGATGATGCCATCCAACCATCTCATCCTCTGTCATCCTCTTCTCCTCCCACCTTCAATCTTTCCAAGCATCAGGGTCTTTTTAAATGAGTCAGCGTTTTGTATCAGGTGGCCAAAGTATTGGAGTTTCAGCTTCAGCATTAGTCCTTCCAGTGAATATTCAGAACTGATTTCATGAGGGACTGGTTTGATCTCCTTGCTGTCCAAGGCACTCTCAAGAGTCTCCTCCAAGACCACAGTTCAAAAGCATCAATTCTTCGGTGCTCAGATTTCTTTATAGTCCAACTCTCACATCCATATATGACTACTAAAAAAACCATAGCTTTGACTAGACAGACCTTTGTTGACAAAGTAATGTCTCTGCTTTTTAATATGCTATCTAGGTTGGCCATAACTTTTCTTTCGAGAAGCAAGCGTCTTTTAATTTCATGGCTGTAGTCACCATCTGCAGTGATTTTGGAGCCCAGAAAAATAAAGTCTGTCACTGTTTCCACTGTTTCCCCATCTATTTGCCATGAAGTGATGGGACCAGATGCCCGATCTTAGTTTTCTGAATGTTGAGTTTTAAGCCAACTTTTTCACTCTCCTCTTTCACTATCATCAAGAGGCTCTTTAGTTCTTCGCTTTCTGCCATAAAGATGGTGTCATCTGCATATCTGAGGTTATTGATATTTCTCCCGGCAATCTTGATTCCAGATTGTGCTTCATCCAGCCCAGCATTTCTCATGACGTACTTGGCATATAGGTTAAATAAGCAGAGTGACAATGTACAACCTTGACATACTACTTTCCCGATTTGGAACCAGTCTGTTGTTCCATGTCCAGTTCCAAATGTTGCTTTCTGACCTGCATACAGGTTTCTCAGGAGGCAGGTCAGGTGTCTGGTATTCCCATCTCTTTCAGAATTTTTCACAGTTTGTTGTGATCCACATAGTCAAAGGCTTTGGCATAATTAATAAAGCAGAAGTAGATGTCTTTCTGGAACTCTCTTGCTTTTCTGATGATCCAACAGATGTTGGCAATTTGATCTCTGGTTCCTCTGCNTGTACTCCAAGGCCAAATTTGCCTGTTACTCCAGGTGTTTCTTGACTTCCTACTTATGCATTCCAGTCTCCTATAATGAAATGGACATCTTTTTAGGGTGTTAGTTCTAGAAGATCTTGTAGGTCTTCATAGAACCATTCAACTTCAGCTTCTTCAGCATAATTGGTTGGGACAGAGATTTGGATTACTGTGATATTGAATGGTGTGCCTTGGAAATGAACAGAGATCACTCTGTCATTTTTGAAATTGGAGCCAAGTACTGCATCTCGGACTCTTTTGTTGACTATGATGGCTACTGCATTTCTTAAGGGATTCTTGCCCATAGTAGTAGATATAATGGTCATCTAAGTTAAATTCACCCATTCCAGTCCATTTTAATTCTCTGATTCCTAAAATGTTGATGTTCACTCTTGCCATCTCCTGTTTGATCACTTCCAATTTACCTTGATTCATGGACCTAACATTCCAGGTTCCTATGCAATATTGCTCTTTACAACATTGGACCTTGCTTCCATCACCAGTCACATCCACAACAGGTGTTGTTTTTGCTTTGGCTCTGTCTCTTCATTCTTTCTGCAGTTATTTCTCCACTGATCTCCAGTAGCATATTAATAGGGCACCTACTGACCTGGGGAGTTCATCTTTCAGTGTTCTATCGTTTTTCCTTTTCATACTGTTCATGGGGTTCTCAAGGCAGGAATACTGAAGTGGTTTTCCATTCCCTTCTCCAGTGGACCACGTTTTGTCAGAACTCTCCACTATGACCTGTCCACTTTGGGTGGCCCTACATGGCATGGCTCATAGTTTCATTGAGTTAGATAAGACTACAGTCTATATAGGCTTGCAAAGCATCCAACACAACTGAAGTGACTTTGCACATGATTCATGAATGTGTATGTGTAACTGACGCACTTTGCTGTAGCAGAAACTAACACAATACTTTCAGTCAACTATTTGTATTGATACTACAACTATTTATATTGGAATATATTTTACTCCAATAAAATAAAATGAAAAAGAACTTGGGGAAAGAATATTGGGACAATTAAGGAGAATGGATGTGTCTTCAGTTCCCCAAGGTAGGAATGGGAGAGATCTGGTTGCTCCAGGAGGGATAGGTTCTGAGCAGTGAGGCTGGAGAGAGAGAGAGTGGAGTACCCAGGCATCCCAGATCCATTGTGAGGGCCAACTACAGGCTTGGAGCATCCATGGATGTAGCGAGGTGCCTGCTCCCTGCCCCACCTCCCCTCCCTCCAAGGAGCAGGCCCCTGGGGCTGCATCCAAAGCAAGAGAGACTGCTCCTGGCCAGACCTCACACTGCCTCTTTCAAGTGTGGCCTCTACTATAAGTGTACTGACTCAGGGTGGTGGGGGGGACTGGTGGCCTCCAGGGACCAGAGCACAGGCGCAGTGAGCAGAGCAAAGAGACAGAGCTCCTCCTGGCACCCTCACCCCATCTCAGGCCTTCATCTGTTCAGGAGGAGTTCATGGCCAGGCACCATACTCGGCTCCAGAACTGAGTGACCCGGAATTGCAGCACTGCCCCTCCATCGCAGCTAGGGTCACCCTCCAGTAGAAACTTGGAGCCCCCTCCTCACAGCCATGGACTCCTTCCTGGCAGGCAGGCAGGATGCTGGTGGGTGACCTGGGGAGAGTTGGTGAGAAAGGAAGGAACCTGAGAGTGCTGAGCTGGAGGCTGAGTTGGGTTTCCAGATGGAAGAAGCACAGTCTGGGCCAGGGACCACTGTCCAAAGCCCCAAAGGTGGCAGAGGCTCTGGAGCCTGTAGACACCGCTGGGTGGTGTGGGACAGAGGTTTCTGGGTCCCAGGGGGGCAGGAGGGGAGCAGGAGAGAGGAGGCTAGCACCAGGTGAGTGAGCTCACCAGTCCCTGGTTGCTAAAGGTGGAGGAGGGCATGGTTCAGTCCCAGAGGGGTGGACAAATGAGCTAACTGAATTGACTGGCCGGTGACAGTGACCAGGGACTTGGCAGACACCATCTCTGGAAGGGTGATCCCGGGTGCCTAAGAAGCCTGCCCTTCCAGTTTCGACTCCCGGTGAGAAGGGATGTTCTCTGTCCTCTGACTGTGGGTGGTGCTAACCTTCCTTGTGCATTCCTCCCAGATCCGGACAAAGGACAGGATCTTTGACAGTATCAGCCACCTCATCAACCACCACCTGGAAAACAGCCTGCCCATCGTCTCCGCCGGGAGTGAGCTCTGCCTGCAGCAGCCAGTGGAGAGGAACCCGTGACCTGCCAGCTGCCCTGTCCGACACCGCACCTGTGGTCAGGAGGGCTTGGTTCTTCCCAGTAGATGGATATCGGGCCCCGGGAATGTGGGCAGGTGTCCATTGGCTCAGAGCTTTGTGCAGAAGCCCCAGGAGGAAGGCTTCCCTAAGATGCAAGTTTCATAAACTTGTTCAGAATTCTCATTAGCATATTAAAGGTGTACATACCTATACATCCTGTACAAATTACCCCTCTATATTTATATTTTTTAAGACTAAGAAAGATGTAAGACTAATGTTCTGTGCTGTATGTTTTTAATGAAAACTAAGTTTGACTGTAGTTGTCCAGGTAAAATGTTAATTCAGCTGACCCATTCCACTGGGAAATTCCACTGGGAAAGTGTTACCTATTAAGCACAACACAGGGAATAGAAGCAGCAGGAGGGTCAATACTAAACACTTGGGATGTAACAGAGTAAGACAAGATGCTGCCTGTGCTCTGCATGCAAAGCGCTGTGAAGTGCTGGTCCTTAGGGCCGTCCCTTCTCACGGGCGACGCCTCCCAGGCTGCCTGCCCCACACCCATGTTCATGGGGTTTCCAGCACCAGAGTTTGGGGAGCTGTGCTAAAAGCATACGTCACTCCAGCTGTTTCAGGTAGTGCTGAGCACAGGCATGCTCCTCCCATGACCCTGGTTGCCCAGGGGTTCTTGGGGTTTCACTTCACTGCCAAATAGGGCACAAAATAAGCCTCACGGATCAAGATCTTGACAGGTAAATGCTTCCTTTGTTTTTATCAGTATAATGGCAAAACGAGGGTGTGTGCAGGGATATTGGGTAGCCGGGGATGTGTACATCCTCTCAGCCAACAGGCTGCTGCTGTACCTGCTAGTGAAATCCTGTCCCCTTTATGTTCGGTAGAGGAGGAAGCATGCGTTCAACCTGCGCAGAATATGGGTGCAAACATGTGTGCCCAGAGACGTTCCTTCGGTCGTGGATGATTAAGGTTTGCCTAAACCTAGGGACCAGGCTCAGGAGCTTTGGGAATCAGTTTGAAGTCCTGCTTCTGGAGAGATGGGTGGGTCTAGTGTCTGGTTTGTTTCCACAACAGGTTTCCCAAGTGCTCCATGAAGAGCGTACCTGCCCCAGACAGCACTTTGTCCCAGCTCCTTCCTTCAGGATCAAACGCTCTGATCTCCTACTGGGTCTTCTGTTTTAGGAAATTGACAATGTTTCTAACTGTCTGGCTTGAGATTTCCATGGGATTTAACAGGTGTTGACTTTTAAAAAATAGAAAGATTCATTCATTCACTGGCACCTTCCCACTGGTGCCACAACATTGGCTCTTGTCCAGTTGAAATCCCCTTTTGGGCAGCACCCCCTTCATCAGTGCAACAGAAAGACCCTCCACACACACTTAGCCTTTAATAGTAATAAATTTGATGCTTCCAGAATGAAGAGCAAAAAGTAGATTTTTGAAAACGCTGATGAGCGCTAATTGCACAAAGTTCTAATGCTCAGTGTGTGAACCCCATTTCTACTTCAAGGGGGTGTGCTTGGCCAGGATGGGAGAATGGGGCAGAGCTGACAGTTGAGGATGGGTTGGGGAAGGTCCAAAGCTTCATATTAGCATTCTGTGGAATTTTACCTCATGAATCCAAGCTGACAGTGGTTTCAATCTTCTAGAATGCTCTGCCGTGAATGGGAACTCTGTGGGGAGTCTGACACTAATCTAGAACCCCACCACCACCCCTGCTTCTTCCTGGACTGGTTTTGCTTTCAGGTGCAGTTGGGATACCTGTTCCAGCTTATCCAGAGGCAGTAGGGGTTGAGTGGGGATGGGCTGAGCAGCTGGGGTGGGCTCCTCCCCTGTGACAATGTAGATTTGGGGTGGCTGTGAGAATTGCCCCATATTCTTATGTATATCTGCATCCTGGAGATGTCCACAAAGGTCTGACCTCTGTGGGGAGTCACGATCCTTCTCTGTATGTGAGTGTACACACATACTCATAGACCAAATGACTTCTTTCAACAGTCTTGCACTCCCCGCTGTGTAAGGCCAAAACATTTCATGTTTAGGGCAAAGCAGAGAAGGAGACAAGAGCAAACACCTGAGAGCCTCTGAACACTTGATCTGTGTCTTTTTTTTCTCTCCGGTGTGCAAGAAATGCTAATCTGCAGTTTTAGTAGCTCTCTGCTCTGAAGTTAGTGTTTATCTCAGTGGTGATAAGCTGGGTTTTTTTTTTTTTTTTTTTTGCATGAGTATCAATTTAGAAAATTAAAGTATGGGGGTATCAAATATCGGTTCAGTGTTAATTAAAATATGTATTTTTTAAGTTAAGATTATACCTTGCCTCCCATGGGGCAGTGGGACAAACCGGCACTCTTGTAACCACTGGAGCAGATTTGAGACACAGCAAATGGCAGTGATTTTCTAGTCTCTGCTGTCTCCTGTTTGTAAAGCATGTAAGAGCTCACCAGGCCATCTCATCTCTTCCTTCAAGCGCCATGTGCCGGGTATCACGGAGCCTCACACACGGCTGGCAAAACTGAGGCTCAGGTGGTGCCCACTTGCTCCAGTCCACGCGGTCAGCGGCAGCAGAGCTGTTTCCCGCTCCTCTAGGCTCTCCCCGAGCTCCGCTGCGCTGGGAGCTCCGGTTTCGGTTTCGGAGGCAAACTCCCCCATGCGCTCCAGGGCCTCCGACTCCCAGGGCGTGCTCACTGCGCGCTGTGAGGGCCATCCTGGGCCCCCGGAGCGTACTAGGACCTGTTGCCCCTCTCTTGGGCACCCCCTGCCGCTTTACCCAGGCCCCTGTGTCTGCTGGGAGGGCCTGGCCAGTCCTAAAACGGCCCCTCTTGCTAAGTGGGCCTGGAGACGGCTCCTCCCTCCCCCATCATCTTGTGGGAATTAGCNGAGCGTACTAGGACCTGTTGCCCCTCTCTTGGGCACCCCCTGCCGCTTTACCCAGGCCCCTGTGTCTGCTGGGAGGGCCTGGCCAGTCCTAAAACGGCCCCTCTTGCTAAGTGGGCCTGGAGACGGCTCCTCCCTCCCCCATCATCTTGTGGGAATTAGCAGTGCCTTCTAGCGACTCCCACCTGCTCAGCGTCTGCCGGGCTTCCTGTGGGGCTGCTGGCCCTGGGTTCCGCCAGCTTTGAGGCCTGACTATTACGGATACTCTGAGAGGCTCATAGTAGAAGCCGGGGGAGAATTCCCTGGGGGGGTTCATGCATGACGGGAGAGGCCTAGTTTCAGGCAGGGAGGGTGGATGGAGCGCCACTTTGTGATGCCCCCGCCCCCACAAAGAGCCCTGCGCTCCAGCACAGTGTCCGCCCCGGGCTCCATGTCCAGCCGCGTGTCCTGAAGCGCCCCCTTCCTGTAGGGGAGCTCTCCTTTCCGATAGCTCTGAAGCATTAGGTAAGTAATGCTTACATGAGGAAACGAACGTCCTGGTCCTTAATTCCGTGAATCGCTCACCCCGTGAAGGCCAGTCACAGGATCCCGGGCTCCCTGGGCAGCCCGCCTCAGCTCCTGCATGCAGAGCCACGTGGCTTTGAGCCGGCTGCTGGGTTTCTCTGAGCCTGAGAGGGTGTGGGGGTTGATGATTGTGTGTGAGCACCAAGGACTGTTGTTTTCTGGGATGTTTCACTCTCAAAGTGTACATCTGTGCTCTACTGCTGTCCAAGGACATATGGACGGCCGCCATAAATACTTTTCTGTGAATGGTGGTGTGCATGCCTGCTAAGTAGCTTCAGTCGTGTCTGACTCTGTGGGACCCCATGGACTGTATAGCCTGCCAGGTTCCTCTGTCCATGGAATCCCATGGACAAGAATACTGGAATGGGTTGCCATGCCCTCCTCTGGGGGATCTTCCTGACCCAAGGATTGAACCTGCATTTCTCATGTCTTCTGCATTGACAGGCAGATTCTTTACCACTAGCACCACCCCTGGATGGTGAAAGCCTAGTGGAAAATGGGAAGGAGACTGTGGAAAGATTACCAATAGGTAACCATAGGACACAGACAAGTCTTGACCTTGGTGTGTGTAAGTCATTCAGTCGTGTCCTACTCTTTGCGACCCCATGGACGTAGCCTGCCTGGCTCCTCTGTCCGTGGGATTTTCCAGGCAAGAATACTGGAGTGGGTTGCCATGCCCTCCTCCAGGGGATCTTCCCAACCCAGGTGCTGAACCCACGTCTCTTATGTCTCCTGCATTGGCAGGCGGGTTCTTTACCACTAGTGCCACCTGGGAACTGCAGGACACAGACAAATCTTGACCTTGGGTTTCAGAAAAATACTCTTAGGTTCTATACGGAAACTTTAAGTTGGTCTTAATAAAGAGAAGTGGAAAAATGACTTTACTGGCACATGTCATAAACCTGGAACTGGCCCTGCTCCTCAGAAGACAGCAAACGAGGAAGCATCTTCAGATAGCATAGATGGAAGGATCCATTTTTCAGTGAGGAAATTAGACCTGATTGACTTTCTAGAAGGTAGTGATAGTCAGTGGCTGAATCTAGGACAGATTATTAGGGTCCTTCAAGGCTTCTATATAAAGTTCAGCCCCTGATGGAAAATGGCAAGTAGTACTTCCCTCCTTGACTTTATCTTTATGCACCTTTTTTCCCCCCCAAAATGTTAAAAGCATGAGCCATTCACATGGTCAAGGAAGTTTCTATTCCTTTGTTTAGTTTGTGTGTCCTACTCTTTGTGATCCTATGGACTGTATCTGGGCCCCTCTGTCCTTGTGATTCTTCAGGCAAGAATACTGGAGTGGGTTGCCATTTCTTTCTCCAGGGGATCTTCCTGACCCAGGAATTGAACCCCTGTCTCCTGCAGTGGCAGGAAAGTTCTTTACCCCTAGCACCAACTGGGAAGCCCCAAATTTTCATTTTTTTATATTGGAGTATAGTTGATTTCCCAATATTTTTGCCTGGGAAATCCCATGGACAGAGGATCCTGGTGGGCTACAGTTCATAGGGTCGCAAAAAGTCAGACATGACTTAGCAACTAAACAGTAAGATAGTTGATTAACAATGATGTGTCAGTTATAGATGTATGGCAAAGTGATTCAGTTATGCCCATAGCATGAATATTAGAGTGGGTTGCCATGCCCTTCTCCAGGGGATTTTCCTGATCCAGGTGTCAAACCTGCCTCTTTTGTGTCCTTCTTTGGCAGGCAGGTTCTTTACCACTCGTGCCACCTGGGAAGCCCCAGTTTAGTTTGGGGTCCCACAGAAGCAGACCCTGAGAAAGGCTCTGGGTGTATGTAGACTCAGGGTTGGGGAAGGAAGCTGATGAGGAAGGCATGATCAAACAAGTCACCAAGATGTAGATAACTAATTGCACTGGGGACTGAGAGAGGCAGGGCTGGACAGACCTAAGAGCTAACCCACCAGGGCAGGGATCGAGCCAGACATTTACCCAAACAGCCCAGCACTGGTGGAAGGCTGTTTCTGGCCACAGTGTCCTGGCTGGCCCTTCACACACCAAACCGAGGAGTACTTGGGTGGAGAGACAGCCCTTCATAAGTAGACTTGGGGTGAAAGGCAGGCATCAGAGCCATCGGAGATCATCCCCAGAGTTCCTGACTCTGTAGTTCTGGATGGGGCCAGAGAATTTGCATTTTTAGTAAATTGCAGTTGATGCTGGTAGGCAGTCTTGATTTTCGGAACTATCATCAGGTATGAACTGCTAGCCCTTACCTGTCTCACTGACTGTTTATCCCCTCTAACGTATGGTGATGTTTTCATGCCACTTCATGTTATAGATCCCAGAGTCCAAGCTGTGAGTTCAAAAGTGGAGGATTAATAAGCATTTATAACTCCATGCAATCACTACTGGCAGATAAAATGCCATCTGCCAGACACAATTTATTTATAATGGGGTTTATACATATTTATAAGTTTGCAAGCAACAAATGCACAGTTTTAAAACTGGCATATTTTATAGCAGCCAGAAAAATTGCAACTTTATACCAGGACTTGTGAATATCAACTGCATATGTGTATATATATATATAAACACACACACATACGTGTACCTACTAATTACGACAGATGTTTGTCTCCGTCTGTCTGTACATACGTATATACACATGCATATACCTACATTGATTATGACGGACACACATCTCTGTCTGTATGTGTGCACATATAGGTTGGTACCTTGGGACTCCTCCCTGGATTTTGGTATTTTAATGAACATGGACAACTAGAAAGTTACACACATGTTGAGAGTTTGGGGACTGATACGTTCTGGCATCTGCACATGGTCTTGGATGCTGGTCTTGGGAGGATGGTCTTGGATGCTGCAGGAACAAGATAAGAGGGCCATGTGGGGGCCACTGTGGGAAGTGACAAAGGGACATAGGGAAGAGAAGCCAGTGGGGGAAGACAGGAAAGGAGAGGCTGGGAGAACAGAGGAGGAAAAAGAAAAAAGGCAGGGGCAGCCAGTCCAGACCTACATCCTGTGATCGTCCAGCAGTGTGTAAAGATAAGCAGGGGCGGGTGTCGGGGAGGCTGCCCACTGTGTGCCTAGGGGCTGAGTGTTGCCTTCCGGGTGCAGCTACACTGTTGACTTTTTAACCAGCCTCCTCTTGGTCTTGTCTTATGTTAGTTGATGTGAGGCGAGCACTGTGTTGCGCTTCTATGATCATGCGAAGGTTCTGCCTGTCTGCAGTCACAATTCAGTAGAAAATACACACACAGAGAGTATGGGGGCGTGACAAGCCTGATGGGTGGCCCACTTCACTAGGACCTGGAGGGTGCGGCTCCTGGGTAGGTCTGGGGAGTCTGAAGGCTTTGCAGACGGGCTGCAGGCAGGATGGGGAAGGTTAGAACAGGCAGACACAGTGTGGATGGCCCAGGAGGAGGCAGACACACCCTCATGCATGAATAGTGGTCAGGGTTGGGAGGGATGTTGGAGGCATCCCTGGGGTGCTCCTGCTCATTCTTGCCTCCTTCTCATGACCACAGATGGCCAGAATAATGACCCCCTTAGGCCCAAACACATGGGGCTCCCTCCTGAGGGCTGAGGTATGGAAGAGGCATTCTCATTGAAGAAGGCACGAGAAATGAAATCCCATACAATTTCCAGTTTCTATTTTGTTGTTTCACCTTGAAATGCTGTAGGCAGAAATACACACACATGGGGACATGTGCTGTGGCCCTGGGTGACTGAAGTCATGAATTCACACTCATCTGGGATGTTTTTACCACAACCAAAGTTTCTAACCACTGAATCAAGGGATGATTAAAGCAGAAATCAATAGACAAATCCATTTTTGAACACTGAATAAACGTTTTTGTAACAATTATATGTTGGTTGCAAGTGGAATGTTCTCTGTTCCTTTGAATCCTTTTGAATATAACTTGTTCCAGAGTAAATCTTGTAAAATTAAGGCCATGAATGTTTCTTTGTATCCAGAACTAAATAAGAATTAAAATTTGATGCTTAAATCCAAGGATTAGGAGAGAACTCTGTCCCGTGTACATCTAATGTGTAATAATGAGATATTTATTACTTTTTAAAAAGCATTTGGATGGGAAATTATACCTATTGGTAAATATTTGAAAATTTCGTGTTTATTTTCCATTAACTTTTGTGAAACAAAAAAGAATTCCTGTGAAGATCTCTGGTTTATTGCCAATTTACCACTTTCTATGTTGCTACTGGATAAGAATCGGTGTTGGAGATCTCTGAGGAGTGGAAACACAAGATCAACTTCAAGTTTTCTAATCTCTGTTCTTTGAAAGATAATGAAACTGAAATTATTTGCCTAACCTCTGGGAGATTTGACAACACAGTGGGCGAAGAGAATTGGCTTAAATTCCCTCCTCACGTTCAGTGATTCCACGTCGCTCCTTCAGTAAATGATGTGGTTTCCTGTTGTGAGCTCTGTCGCCAGGCCGGGCACATCCCTGAGCTTCCAGGGCAGCCAGTTGGAGGTGCCACGTGGCATTTCTGTGCGTCACCACCATGGCCCAGGAGCAGAGGTTGTCACTCCCACTTAGGCGCGACGGCACTCCTTGTCACTGGTTATTGGAAAATGTGCCTTCATTTTCAGAATAGTGGTGTGTGCGTTTCTGATTATGTAGCAAACCCTTTGATATTTGACTTAGATACTAAAAACATTTGAGTGTGGAGGTTTTGCACTCGTAGATACATTTAAAAGCATGGACTTGGTAATTTAACTATAAGTTTTCTATAATGTACACCTCGTTAATAATACATATCTGTGAAAGGCTCTTTTCCAGTGTAGAAGAACCATGGGTCAAGGGTGGAGAGAAACAACTGTTCTCTAAATAGTCTGATGTTAACTGACTGTCAATGTGAGTCTGTGGGCAATAAAGAATATTGTGAAAAGTCTCTCATTTGGATGGTGGATCTTGTATTGCCTCATGAAGGAGAGGAGGGGAGTTGGAAACATTTCCATAGAAAGCAGATATTCTCAATTATTCTCTAGGAGACCTCTTAAAATACAATCACAGCAGAGTCCTGTTGGGGACACCAAAGGTGTGAGATGAAAATGGCAGTTTGATAGAAGCATTCCTGATGGGATTTAGATAAACTTCTGCCCACTTGGCCTTGGACAGTGTAAAGGTGGCAGTAGGTTGCGGTCTTTGTTACATAATGGTACCACACACTGCAGCTTGCGCATGTATCAACGGCAGACATTTGAAGTCCAAGTGCTCTGTAACACAGAAATGATGAATATACACCCACAGGTACTTCTGGGGGCAGATTTCTTCAGGAATATCACTACCAACTAGTGATGCCAAATACTGGCTTCCTTCTATGTAAGAATACAGGGTGGAGAGGTGAAAACTTACCATCTGTGATGGAAAAAGCTAGAGAAAGGGCTCGTTTATCAAGTCTCTCCTGTTGCCTCCATTGCACCAAATCGAGCAGAACCTATCGTCCCATCTCTTTTGACTGTACTTTGGCTGCCAGGATTCTTACAATTTTCTCCCTATTGAAAGGGTAGTCTATTGACCTCCTTCCCTACTGACCTACCAAAATTGGTGGAAAGTGAACGTGCTAGCTGCTCAGTCATATCTGACTCTTTGCAACCCCATGGACTGTAACCCGCCAGGCTCCCCTGTCCATGGAATTCTTCAGCAAGAATCCTAGAGTGGGTTGCCATTCTCTTCTCCAGGGAATCTTCCTGATCCAGGGATTGAACCTGGGTTTCCCGCATTGCAGGTGGATTCTTTACCATCTGAGCCACTTCCCACAAGCAGAGCTGGTATTTTAGGAAACTTGGGTGTATTGGGTGCTATTCCACCAAAACACCAGTTCTGCTATTGGGAAGTACACAGAAGATGCTACTAGAGTTCTCAGAGTGATTTAATTCCCAGAGAGACAATGAGCAGCAGATGAGAGTTCCGGCTGTCACTCTGCATCTCACCAGGGGCGGCCTTAGTGTACACAGCTCCCCACGTGGACTCCCGACAACCAGTTTATACAAAGGCTTTCATTTTATTTTATTTTTTTTTAACAACCATACATGGGATTCGATGAAGGTTACTAACTGAATGAACGCTAACACAGGTTCTCTGTGACTTTGACATACTCAACTTCTAAATGATCAGCTAGCTGGTTAGGATTGTATAGTTGGTACTTTTTGTTGTTCAGTCACTGGGTCGTGTAAGCTCTTTGCCACTTCATGGACTGTAGCCCACAAGGCTCTTCTGTCCATGGGATTTCCTAGGCAGGATTACGCGAGTGGGTTGCCATCTCCTTCTCCGACACTTGGTGCTAAATTTGATTATTATTATTTTTTTTTGCATATATCAAACAGACACAATGACTGTTTTGGAGTATTTTTCATTCAGATTGATTGAAAGTGTTATGCTCCCTCAAAAAAAAAGTCGAGGTTATGGTGCAGTGTTATATTACTTTTAGTGCCAGAGAGCTGGAGCCCCCAAGCAACTCAGAACTAATATATAAAGTTCTTAAGTCATTTTACCACTGAAAACAAAATGCAATACTCAATATTTTGGCTCTCTGAGTCAATTTTGTTGTTATTTTCTTAACCCAGGATCTTAATGCTTAACTTTTCTATAAATGCTCTGGGTTTTCTCAGGCTGTTTGACAAGAGAATAAGCTCCTTTTCAGTGATGCAATGAAAACAATTAAAATGCCACTGATGAGCATGTCCTTGCAAACAGGATTTATCTCCATCAGCAACAAAAATTAAGAAAGATGTTGGGTGGTACATGGTCACCCAGGACCCAGGTAAATGTACCTTAATTAAGAGGAACTGGCATGAGATTACAAAGAGGAGTCACTTTTTCTCTGAAAAGTTATTTATGTGTTAAGACTACTTTTTTAGTCTTTACTCAGGCAAAATTCCCACTGAACCTAAAAACTTCAGGGGTTTTGAAGTGAGGCTTACCTTTTGAAGGTAATCCTTGAAGGTTCCTTCTTATCTTTTTAAAAAACAAAAGACTCAGTACATCAACTATATACTTATGACAGTTCTGCAAATTTGTATATTTTTCATCCATTTGTACTTCATGAAGAATCCTTGGGGATGACTGTGTACAAAAATGCCTTCTAAGTAATTCCTTCTAAAGATAAAGAGTGATACAGGGTCAGCCTGTGTTAAAATGAAAGATTACAGTATTGCTACATCTCTTTGAAGAAAACACAAACTGCCAGATCACAATTAAACTGCTCTAATGGTCGCGGTCAGGGTCAGCTTTCAGGAATCCACGGGGCTGTGGACAGCCCCAGCTGCTCAGCTGTAACAGCATAGGGGGGTTAACTAACTTGGTATTTTTCCGATACAGATTCAAACTCAACACAGGATCACAGTGCTGTCCTGTAAGCATCTTCAAATTCAACAGAAACTCCCCATTACGTTGGAAAGGTGAAATGGGCCAGGGGTCTGTCCTCTGCTTCTCCCTCTTGGATTCTTTTCTTGATTGGTGTGGGGCATAGGCTCCTGGAATACCTTGGCTGGCTTTTCTAGGATTTGGAGAAACCCCAAACAGTTGGGTAATTTGGCTAATTTGACTTTTGGATGAGCTTAAGACTCCTCAGGGAGAAATGACGAAAAGACAAGCAGGGGTCCCCTTGGGGGACGTACGTCCACAGAACTCACTCGTTCCCTCCTGGATCCTCCAGACGCTGTCAAGGGCATCTCAGGACAGTTGGAGGTCAGATGCTTACATCTGAGACCAGCCTTGGACAAGCCCTTTTAGAGGGGCTGCGCTCTCAAGACCTGCTTAACATGACACTTTGTGTCAGTCTGAAGAGACTGCGACTGGCCTGTCCAACTAGTTCCTGGTCACATCCTCAAACTCGCTGGTTCAGCCGGAACTTACTTGTACTCCTGTTACATAAGGACACCATGTACCTCAGCTTACACATGCGCCAGTGGCAGACATTTGAAACGCAAGCGCCCTGTAACACTGGAACGATGACTATACAGCCTCCATCTGTGCACAGTCAATGTAGTGTAGTCACCGAACATCATCCTGGGATGATGATGTTCCTGGGAAACACACTGCACAGTGTGTGTGGTCCAACACCTTCCCTCTCCAGGCAGAGGCCAGGGGGGAGGGAGGATTCAGGGGAAGGCGGCTGATGACATCAGCAGCTTGGTACATTTGGAAGACCCTAGAGCCTAAATGGACAAGGCACGATGTCTGCAATGAAATGCATCAGCAATTCCTTGGGTGCCCTCCTTAAGAGACATCCACACCAGCCAGGCCAGCTGTTGGCAGAACAGCTTTCTCGAGTCCCAGCTCTGGAAATACCCCCATGGATGGGGCATGCAATCCAGAAGAACGTGGCTGCAGGGTTGGTTGCCGCTGTTCCTGTGGCGATGCAAGGACCCCAGGTTCCTTGAGGCCCGCACCCTCACTTGTAGATGACTCCGTTCTGCAGGGTTTTGTTTCTGTCGGTGATGCAGGGCGAGGCGGCCGTTTGGGGGAGGTTTTCCTTGCTTTTCGGGGAAGGGCTGCTGTTGTTGCTGCCGCTGGATTTGCTTCTGCTTGGATCGAGAGCGGGCTGGATGGGTGAGGAGTGGGCGCCCCGGCCCCTGACCAGGCAGGTGCAGACAAGTCGGAAGAAGGCCCGCCGCATCTCCTTGCTGGCCAGCGTGTAGATGACGGGGTTCATGGCGGAGTTGAGCACGGCCAGCAGGATGAACCACTGGGCCTTGAACAGAACAGCGCACTCCTTCACCTTGCAGGCCACGTCCACGAGGAAGAGGATGAAGAGTGGAGACCAGCAGGCGATGAACACGCTCACCACGATCACCACGGTCCGCAGCAGGGCCATGGACCGCTCTGAGTTGTGCGGGCTGGCCACCCTGCGGCTGCTGGACTTTACCAGGAAGTAGATGCGTGCGTACAGGATCACGATGGTCACCAGGATGGCTATGAAGATGCTGATGCAGAACGCGATGTACTTCTTGGAGTAGAGGGGCAGGATGGTGGAGCAGTCGGGGAGGTTGTGCAGGCAGTTCCAGCCCAGGATGGGTAAGGCGCCCAGCGAGAAGGCGATGAGCCAGCACATTCCGATCAGAAGAAAGACACGGTGCTTCTTGTTGGCATCGTATGGCCTCATTTTGATCATGGTCAAGTGTCTCTCAATAGCAATGGCCAGCAGGCTACAGGTGGACGCCCCAAGGGCCACAAACATGCTGCCTTCCCGTAGGAACCAGACCGTCAGGGAGAGGCTCAGCGTCCTCTTGCCCGACATCAGAATGTTGACCTTGTAGGCTATGCCGGCCAGCAGGTCGCAGAGGGCCAGGTTACCAATGAAAAAGTACATGCGGTTGTGGAATTTATTGTTTTTCCAGATGGCAATCAAGACCATCAGGTTCTCCAAGACAATGAAGCTGCAGATGATCAAGAACAGGGCGGTGGTGAGCGTGCCGCCCTCGGAAGCGCCCTTCAGCCTCTCCTCCAGCTTGCCCACATAGCTGTAATGTTCGCGCAGGGTCTCGTTGGAGGGGTAAGATCTGGGGCGTGGCGTGAGAATCATTGCCATCACTAGGAACTCACAATCAGTTAGCTCCTAAATCCACTAGAGGGCGCGCTGAGAACGTCCATTTCCAGGGAAAACAAAGCTTTCCGTTTAGGCTGCAACAGGGATCCAGGCCATACACCGGCTAGGGTGTTGAGAATAGGCTCCTAGGAAAAGATAAAAGGAGAGAGGGCCCAGTGATAAAGTAACAGCACCTAAAAACAACAGCAGCAACAGAGTTGGAGAAAGGCACTAAAATGCTGAAGCATTTGGATGGCTGGTCCATAAGGGCCCAAGGAGGGCCTTTAACCCAGGCCAACTTCCTATGTGACTATGGAGACCAGAAGCAGCAATTCTGTTGTCTGCAGTTGCCAAGGAGGGAAATTCTGTGATCGAGCACTGTCATCATTCAATCATGTAATCCAAACACACGGATTTAAACCCAAAGAACCCTTCCACCTGGAAATCTCAAGGCACTTAGGAACGCTAACCAGTTCATACTCATCTACTGTGCATACATGCATGCTAAGTTGCTTCAGTCATGTCCAACTCTGTGTGACCCTATGGACTATAGCCCGCCAGGCCCCTCTGTCCATGGGATTCTCCAGGCAAGAATACTGGAGTGGGCTGCCCTCCTCCTGGGAATCTTCCCAACCCAGGAATCAAACCCACATCTCTAGTGTCTCCTGCATGGGTGAGTGGATTCTTTACCCCTAGCACCACCTGGGGAGCCCCATCTCCTGCACAGGAGCTGGTAAACCCTATTCCCAGTTACTGAGAAACAGAGATTATGTCAGGTCACAAAAATAGGATGGAATTCAGAATAAAGCCCACTGATTCCTAAAACCTCCTTGGTGGGTTTTCAAACAATGTTGTAGGAAGTAGTCACACTTCCCTGGAATCCCTGGGACCAGGGCCAAGACCAGAAATCAAATCTAGATGGCCCCCAGGTCTGCCCCACAGAGAGCTCAGAGACAAACCATCTGGTCCAGCACAGCCCACACAGGGCCCACAGGGCCACTCCCTGAGCGAGCAGCTAATCGTGGAGCCAGGGGAAGAATATAAACCTGTAAAAGTGGAATCAACCGCTACTGAGACTAAACGAAGAAGAGCAAGGACAAACAAGTGGATTTTTGAGTTTGGCTTAAAATTCAGAGTTTAGATACAACTGTCGAAACTGCCAAAACTAAATTGGTGTTTGTGAATGGAAAGAAACCACCAATCTGGAGCACCAGTGACAGCGGAGCAGAGAGCCCAAGAGCCAGGCTTCCAATGGCCCTTCCCCCTCTGGACCTCTACGTACCCCCTACCCCCATGTGGCTTTATCCAAAGGCTTCTTGTGGTGTCCAAGGCAGAGCAGCCCCGACTACCAAGGGGGAAATGGTTTTCGCTAGATGCACTGATTCTAAATTAAAACTATTTGAATATTTAAATATATAACTAAACTCAAACAAGGTCAGTTTACATCAGCCTACTGTGTGGATCTGGTGAAGTTTTTTTAACTTTTATAAGTTTAAGTCACAGCCCTCAATTTGGCTTGGTGGCACATGGACCACTCTCCATAGAAATGGGGCTGTGCATTTTGGGGTGCAGTGGAATCTGAAGGCCTGGTACCACTGCTGAGCTCATTCCAGAGAAGGGCCCCAGGGGCAGGAGGACCCTGGGCTCAGCCTGGGTAGCTGCTCTGTGAGTGAGAAGCAGAGGTGTCTCCAGACAGAGCTCCCTGACCAACGGTCCTCCAGGTGGATGCTTTCCTGCCACTCGGGCGCTGGTTCCAGGGCCCTGAGGATGTTGTTAAGCCTCCACTCCCTTAATTTGGGGGAGCCTGGTTTTCTGACATGGGGCAAAGATGGCCCCACTGCTTCTTTGCAGAGATGTCTTCTAATGTCCTGGAGTTTTGTGTGTGGCTTATTGTGGAAACCACATGAGCCCCTGGTGTCTCAGTGCAGTTTGAGGTCATGGAGGGCTGGGAGTCAGCTTTACCACCAAATGTTGGGGCCTGCCAAGGTCTCCCACATCGCTGATGAGCCTTGGAGGCAGCACCCGACCCTGGGGCTGCCTCCCCTCACCCAGGGGCACTGTGAGGCCTCATGCAGGAGGCAGGGTCCCCACCCAGCCCCGGTCCCCTGCCTGGTCTGTGATAAGGGGCCTGGTCTCCCAGAGACAGAAGCAGGGGTGGTGGGGGGTCAGCTCATGGGCCACTCGCCCCCACCAGCTTACCTCTTTTCCATTTTTATTTAAATTGGAGCCTTAAGGCTCCAGATCAACTTCTACCAGCTCTACGGCATTTTCTGGAATCATCCTGCCCCAGCACACCACTTTTTAAAAGAGTTTTTTAAGGATAGAGATAGGAGCAGCCACTGACACTCTCAGAGCACTTTCCTGGAGCCCCTTATTTCATCCTCTCCATCTCTCCTCTCACAGCACCATGGGGCACTGTGAGGCCTCATGCAGGAGGCAGGGTCCCCACCCAGCCCCGGTCCCCTGCCTGGTCTGTGATAAGGGGCCTGGTCTCCCAGAGACAGAAGCAGGGGTGGTGGGGGGTCAGCTCATGGGCCACTCGCCCCCACCAGCTTACCTCTTTTCCATTTTTATTTAAATTGGAGCCTTAAGGCTCCAGATCAACTTCTACCAGCTCTACGGCATTTTCTGGAATCATCCTGCCCCAGCACACCACTTTTTAAAACAGTTTTTTAAGGATAGAGATAGGAGCAGCCACTGACACTCTCAGAGCACTTTCCTGGAGCCCCTTATTTCATCCTCTCCATCTCTCCTCTCACAGCACCATGTACATTAATGGTGCCCAGTAAACATGTGTGCCCTTCATTACTGCTCATCTAAGTGAGCTCATCACAGAGAATGCAGTCTCTGTGCTCCCACTTTGCTGACCCTTCCTGGCTGTCGTAGGAAAGCAGGCACAGGAGAACCTAGTTGCCTGGTTATCTTTCCATCACCTCCCACCCCAGAGCACAACCCGGAGAGAGTGCTTGGCATTCCGGCATGGATGTCCTGTCATGGCACCACTTATGTCCTTGTTCACAGAAGAGGCATGACCCAAAGGTAGAGAAGAGGAACACACGTGCTGCTCCAATGAGAGTCACGAAGCCGCAGCATCCTGAGAGGGGCTGATTTTCTCTGATGGCAGTGGGGTCATACAGCTGGCCTGAGGGCCCTCCAACACCCCCTCCCCACCTCCGCCTCTGCCCCCACCACTTCAGGCCACTGGCTGCCATGTCCAGGTGGCCGCCCCTCTATCCCAGGACCTGATACCGGTGAGCATAACATGAGGAGTTACAATGGTGACTTAGCACCAGAACAGCCTGAATGATGAAAATATACAAACATTACATAAAAGGAGAGCAATGTGAATTGTACCGTAATTTCCACTCACACTGGGGCGAAACAGCTCCAGGAAACTGCATCTGAAAGCCTTTTGAAAACAAGGTATGTCTGAAGTTTCTCTCCTGTGCCTTAGTTTCCCTGCGATGGCCTTAAATACCTCGTGGCCCCCTCTAGACAGTCTCTGCCCCTCCGACTGTGCTATACAGAACAGAGAGCAGGGCTGCGAGTCCCTTTAAAATTGCTGGATGTGGACTTCTCTTGGGAGCAAAGGGGAGAGGAAGTACACCGCAGGCTCCACAGACTCACATTCATTTTTTTCCCCCTCCATATGTACAGTTTTGATAAATTTGAGTAGAAGGTATGAAAGGAAACAATAAAAACTAACACCCAGCAAGAAAATAAGCAAAATGACAATAGTTTAAGATGTGCCAGAAACCCATCAAAACCATGAATCCTGAGGGTGAATACATTTTCCCACTAATGCTCGATTTATAATTTCCCTTAAATATGTATCACTCGAGGAACATATTTTCTCAGAACCTTTTTTGTTATAAAATATGAGTCTCCACACTGTGGGTAACTGGAAGATACCCATCTCTCTTTGGAATCCAAAAGCTTATTTTCTTTGGGTTATCAACATTAAAAAGCTGGTCCCATCTGAGAGTTTTGTGCCGGGCCAAAGATCAGATTGATTTTGGACAGATTGAATGCCACTATGCGTGGTCAAAACCGTCTCATGGGCAAGTTCCTGCCTCCATCCAGAGGGACGGAACACAGCCTCTGAGTCTGCGGGGAGAACGCTCTGCCCCCTCCCTGGTCCCCGAATCTTTGAGAGTCAGCTCGCTCTGTTCATGGAGAGGTGGACATCGGCCCTCCGTGGCTCACCCATCCTGCTGCTCCCAGCCCCTGCAGGAGTGCTGGGCATTTGTGGGCACCAGGGCTCCTGGGAGACCCAACCTTTCCTATCCCTCATGGACTAACCACTAGAATGGCACCACTCTCTGGAATTCTTATCCCTTACAGTAATTTAGCCTGTGTCTGATCCTCACATAAATGGAGTCATGAAGCTGTGCCTGGCATCTTCTTCTCAATGTGATGTTTCTGTGAGCTTCCTGCTCAATGTGAGTCATGCAGAGAGATGTGGGTAACTCCTTCCCATTGCTCCCGCTGTGTGGACGGATACATCCTGGGTTGTGGACATGGAGTGGTTTCCCTGTGCTGTTGTCCTCAGCAGTGCTGTTAGGATGAGTTGAGGATGTCCCCCAGGGTGAGCATGTGCCTGTGTGCCGAGGGGTACCATGGACTTCCTACTGCTGATGTCTAGGCTGGGTTTTGATGGAGGGTCCCCACAGAGGCTTACGGGTGTCAGCCAGTGGTCCTGAGAACTGTCTTTGTGGGTAGCTGGAGAAGTCCCCATAGAGGGTGAGAGTTACACGTTACAAATGCTCACATTTTATTTTAAAAGATAAGTGTCTGGGGCTGGTAGTGACCAGACCAGTATCTGCCTTTCCACTGTAACAAACAACTGGATCACTGCTTAATTTCCACCTGAATACTGAAAAATACAGCCTGATGATGAAAAGTGTGCCTGGGCACCAGCTAGTCATGTACACATTCAGAAAACCTGGCCAGTTATAGAAGACATGTGGGTGCTCCTGCTCACGTGCAGAGGTCTTCCAACAGACCCAGATTCCGACAGAGCTATGCCTGAGAGCAGGCCTTACTTATATCCATAAGCGGAGCTCTCCCTCCCAAACTGTGCTCAGGTCATCCAGACCCCCACAGACTTCTCCCCTCACCCACTCTGAGTGAGGATTTGACTGCCTGCATCTCACTGTGAAGCCCACTCCTGGGTTTGCCTTCCATCTATTCAACAGAGATCTGCTACCTGAGTTTTCACTCCATCCTCATTCAAATGGGGTCTTTGAGTCTACCTCAAGGCATTCCAACACCAAGGCTTTTCTTTCTGCAGAGAAGGAATATGATGCTGTCTAGAAGGTGGTTCATAGGGGTGTCACCCCATCCCCCTCCCTCCATTCCAAGGAAGAGCATCTGTGGGGGGGAGGGGGAGGGGGCCAGGCAGGGCCCGATGGATTCCAGATGTGTTTTCCATGCTGGAGAGTCACTTTCTCTACTCAAGTCACTTTGAAAAATAAACAAACTATAAAAAGAAGGAAAAGGGAAAAAAAACCAAGGGAAATTTTTTCCCCGTTTTGGGTTTTTTTTTTTTTTTTTTTTATTGGCCAAAAAAAAAAAAAGCACAATAAGATAGTGAGACATTGATTTCTCCTGGTAAGATGCAAGGCATTATATTTTTAAAGTTCTATATTCTCCCAGTTCATCCCATAAACTGAATTAAAACACAAAGCATTTGTCCACAAGTAAAATTTCTTGGAAAGCAAGGTGTTTTGTTTTGTTTCTCCCCCACTTAGAAGAATTTAGAAAGGAAATAATGAGTTGGTCGTTTCATGGCCCCAACAAAATTCCTTTCCTAATGAGTATTTCCCTTCACTCAGAGGTTTCTTAGATGACCTCACTCTGCTTTCAGAGATGGTTCATACAAGAGGTGTCACATACTCAGCCTTGCACGCCTGAATGTTGCTCTGGACCCATTAGTGGAGCTCCTGGTGAGAAAGGCTGTTATAGATGAACCACACCAGGATTCCACACCTTCCCCTTTCTTCTCCAGATTGCGGAAGTGAGTTTGTCCCTGGTCAGGTTTCCTGCTTTTCTGCAGCTTCTCCAAAGGTTATTCTCTGAGCAAACAAGGCTCAGATGCCAACACAGATCTGACAGAAGCAGTCCAGGGAGCCCCATGTATGCAGGTTGTGCCCGTAACCAAGTCCAGCTCGAACATCTGCCTCTCTGCATGTTCTCCTGGGCATCCAAGCTCATCAATCTGAGGGCAAATGCTTTTGATGCAAGAGGTCTTTACCTTCATTGCTTTTCTTTCTCAAACTTTCTCTTCTCTGCTTGTTCTAAGGAAGGGTACAGGACTGAATTCCTACCAAGACTGTCACAGCACGAATCAAAGTGGGTGGAAATGAGTTCCTCCAGGCATATGAAAATGAGAGGTGTTCTGCCCAGGAAGTGGTGACTGTGGGGCTCCTTTCATCCTTTCCCACAGAGGCATTCTTACTCGGTGACATGGCACGTGCTCTGCACACTGCATCTTGCAGGTACCACATCTGAGCCCACCACAGCATCTGCTTCCAAATGGACACAGGAGGAAACCGAGCCTGGGGCACCGCTTGGAAGAGGTTGCGCTGGGCTGGATGCCCATGGCATCGGATTCCAGGGCACCACATTAGGGATAAGCTCTTCCAGACACTATCACCTTTTCATGTGTTCCTCACCTATCTAGCGACATGGGTGTCACCAGCATACTTGGAACCGAACTACTTCTCACTACTATGCTAGCAAAATGCTGGAATGCTGAATCTGGGGGCTTGACTGAAATATATGGAAAACTCTGACCCCAAGGAAATGGAGCAGCATCTTCGAGGCCAAAGAGCCTAGTCAAATGACTCAGGATTCTCACTCCAGCTCACGGTTCCAACCAGAGGTTAGAACCACCCGATGGGTTCCACACCCTCCTCTGAACAACCTCATCACTGATTTCCCTGACTGGCCTATTCCCTGGCCTCTCACAGATGCTGCTGTGATTCCTCAAAAACAGAATAAAAACAAAACAAAAGAAACTTTATGCCTAGTAACTGTAACAGCAACTTAAAAAGTATTATTAACTAAACCTAGACAGGATTCCACTAAGGCTAGCATATCATCTCCAAAAGCTCATGGAATCTCTCTTTTTCATTTATTTGTTTTTTAATTGGAGGATAATTGCTTTACAATATTGTGCTGGTTTCTGCAATGCATCAACACGAATCAGACATAGGTGTACATATGTGCCCTCCCTCCTGAAGCTCCCTCCCACCTCCCACCCCATTCCACCCCTCTAGGTTGTCACAGAACAGCTGATTTGAGTTCCCTGCTTCAAACAGCAAATCTTCACTGGTTATTTCATTTTCCATATGGTAATGTGTGTATTTCAATGTTCTTAAGGTAATTAACCAATTTTACAGAAAACATATGGCAAGGGAATAATACCAAATGGCTCCAAAACTGATAAGAAAGGAACCATGAAACCAAATGTGAGGGAGGAAACAGAAAGCCTTGTATAGCCTGGGGCCGCTCAGTCTTGGCCAACCGGCCAACACAGTAGATTGCCCAAGGCTGCCAGGCCAGCTGTATCAGCCCAGAGTCATAGTCCCAAGTCCTAGCAGAGAAAAGGGTTTCTCCAGTTGGGCAACAACAAATGTTTCAAGATTATTTCATGCTCAAATTCCCATGTCTTTGTAACAAAAATATATGCATACACAGTAGGTCTTGAAACATTTTTAGGGGGTCAAAGAGATACCGTGGAATCAAATTAGTGTCATAAGTTTCAGGTAAAGGAAAATCAGTCCCTAAATTTTGAGACATAAAGTCATTAGGCCAATTTGTACCTACCTATACAAAGTAGATAGGCCTTGTATAGGAAATGGTAGCTTCACTATCCACATATGGTAGAAAATTAGGAGAGTCATGCATTTAATGGAATTCACAAATATAAAGAGGAAAGCAGCATTTTCAGAGATGAATACTAGTTGAGGAATTACTGCATCTGTATCTTAAGGGCTGATTTTGTGTTTCGGATCCCTGGTGTCAGGAGACTAGGGTGCCTGGACTAGCAGGCCCAAAGTGAAAGTTTGCTGACTGAGAAAACCCAATGTGTGGTTCACCTATGGTAACAAAAGTATTCAAACTGGCACTGAGCTCTGCATCAGTGAGTCCACAATTCTTTGAGTACCACACACACACACACACACACACACACACACCAGAACCACCACCTACATCAGCAACAAGCTTGACCATCCTCATTAGTCATATACTCACAGATCATAATCCTGCCCTTGTACTTTCTAGGAATTAAATTTTTCTTAACCATGCCTGAAAGATTTTCATCAATGAAGAAAGGAATGTTGGAGACATAAATCATGAAGACATAATTCTTTGGGGCTTCCCTGATGGCTCAGATGGAAAAGAATCTGCCTGCAATGGGGGTTTGGACCCCGGAGAAGGGGATGGCTACCCACTCCAGTATTTTTGCCTGGAGGATTCTAAGGACAGAGAAGCCTGGTGGGCTGCATCTCATTGGGTTGTGAAGAATCAGACAGGACTGAGCGACTAACACTTTACTATCAGGATTCTGTACAATGTCTGCAACTTTTAACTCCAGACTTTAAAAAGATGTCTAATTCTGGAAGGTAAGTACCCAGAGCTCCGGAAGAGCCAGACTTGATTCAGGCTCTTCATCTTCAAAGTAAAGCATGTTCCCTTTAAAAATCCAACATGAAGTCCCTCTCTTACATCTAAATATAAATACACCACAAAGAAATATGTCCTTGGCAGTGTCCAACGTCAGGAAGAGAGAAAGTAAGGAGAAGAAGAACAATTTGGAGGCTATGGTGGGGGCAGGGGGTTAAAACTGGCAAAGTTAGCACTTTCCTCTCATCCAGTCGAAGAAGGACCAGTCCTGTCACTTTCCCGGATTTATCTCAGTTATGAGTATAACTTACTGATCTTCCCTGGGAACCTCATTACCGCATCATAGGAACTTTTGTCTTCCAGGCTCCTCTTCCCGCTCCCCCAACCCCGCCCCCCGCCTGGTTCCGACAGTCCCGACTGCCTTGATTGAGAAATAGAAGGAAAGCTGGAACTTTGTGGCGAAGAAAATAAAATAGAACTATGTTCCCAAGAGAACAAGAACACATACTTCCAGAGCCCCCAGGTCCGCATTCGACGCGGTATAAACGTAATTATCCCAGGAAAATGACCCATGGCGCGTCTCTGTGAAGAATCACTTCTCTCATTCGGCGTTTAAATGCTCTAACTGTAGTTTAAAAAGGAACCATCCCCACTTCCCCTGCCCGGGTTCAGTCACCAGAATGGATGACCTGGTGGGAGTGGGCGATGCTGATGTGGGGTGCTCGCCCGCCCGGGTCCACGTCGCGATGGGCTGGATGGCCTGGAAGACGGGCTGGAAATCCGTGAGAAAAGCGGACCCGGCTGTCCCCACCCAGCCCGGGGACTCCGGGCCTTAGGTCCCGCCGGCTCACCTCCATCCGAGAAGGGCGCTCGAACCCCCGGCATCTTGGCACCCCTTCCTCCCCTCCCGGTGCCAGGGCGCCGGGATAGACTTGGCGCTCGGGGCTGGGGGCACTGCCCGGGCCGCAGAGTCTCGCTCGGGTTCCTGCGGCCACCGCGCTGGGCGCCGGGTTCCTGTCGCGTGTCTCCCAGACCGGCTTCCTCAGCCTCTGCCCCCGCCGGCCCGGGCGCAAACTTTTCCAGCTAACCTCGGGGGCCGGGCCCGCTCCCCGCCTCCCCGCCCTGCCGTCCCGCCCTCACCTCCCCGCTTCCCATCCCCTTACTCCCGCCCCCGCAAGACCCCTCCTACCCGGGCCTCCTTCCCCACCTCCCGGCGCCCCGCCCCATCTCCCGGCCCGGCTGCATCTCCCCGGCTCCCTGCGGCGCTCCCACCGGCATCTTCCCCCGTCCCCGGCCCCTTAAGTCCCCACCTTCCCCCTTCCCACGCCCACACTGCAAGACCCCTCCTACCCGGGCCTCCTTCCCCACCTCCCGGCGCCCCGCCCCATCTCCCGGCCAAGCTGCATCTCCCCGGCTCCCTGCGGCGCTCCCACCGGCATCTTCCCCCGTCCCCGGCCCCTTAAGTCCCCACCTTCCCCCTTCCCACGCCCACACCGTCCTTGGCCCCTCCGCCGCCTCCCCGCCCTCCGCCCTCACCTTCTCACTCCTCGGTCCCCAGCACCTTTGTACTTCTTCCCTCAGCGTTGAGCCCGTATATCCCCATCCATCCTCCCCTCCCTCCAGCCCCTGCACCCCACTTTCTCTCCCGGCTCCCGCCCTCGCCCCCCAAGCCCTTTATCCTTCTCCCCGACAGCCACCCCCGGAGTGTCCCCGCCTTTCGTGTCTGTCCCCGCAGTCGAGCCTCTGGCGGGCCCCGGACATTCTCCTGTCGCCCCCGCCTCCCTCGACAGTCCCCCTGAGTTTGGCTCGCCCCTCCGCCTCTGTCCCAGAACTGCCCTTTAGATCCTCCGCCCCTCCAGGGACCTCAAGGCTGCCGACCCCTGCCCAGCACCCAGCGGGGAAGGTCCAAACCGGAACGGGGACTAGGCTTGGACCGGGTGCATTGAGGGCGAGGGTCTGGCAGATTATTGCTGTTAGTTTCTTCATCATCATTTTTGTCGCGATCACGATCATTTTTGGTCGAAATTGACTGACCGCAACTTGAGGGGAGACATCCGGCCACATTTTGATTTGAACCCTGCGTCTACCACATCCCTTCTGCTCTGAGCCTCCAGCGCCGGGGCTGTTCCCCGGAGGGTACACACGCTCTGAATTCCCGGATCCAACCCGGGCACAAGAGCTCGTGGGCCTGCGGGGGCAGATCTCAGCGATTCGCCTCTCTTGTGTGTATGAATGAGATAGTCTATGTGAAAGCTTCCTAAAGAAGAATCCCCAGGGAGGGGACGACCAACTCTATTGGACAGGGAAAGTGAAGGTCCTGAGTAAGGGAACACAGAACCAACCCTCCAAGCTTCTAGGGGGAGGGAGAAAGAAAGAGGTGGGCAGTTGGGGGCGGGGGCGGGGGAAGGGTTAGGAGAAAAGAAGAGAGGCAGGAAGAAGGAACCAGAAGGTCTGCTATCAAAGCAAGACTGTGCATTCCTGGTAGGTGGGAACTGGGACTACATGGGTCCCTGGAGCAAGTTGGGGAGTTGCTCAGTTACCTGTGTGTGATTTGCTCTCTTGCTTCTAGGGAAGGAGCCCCAAGCATCCTTCCCCTTGAGCTGGGAGCAAATGCCCATTAGGGGTGGGACTGAACAAGTTTCCAGCACTTCTGCCTGCCTTTTGAGTTGGTCCCTGTTGAGAAACCCCAGCCCTGGAGAAAAAGGGGTGTTAGTATGGGTTTGCAGATCGCTGTTGGTTTTGGGGTTCAGTGGAGGGCTGGTGCTGCCCGTTCCTTGTTTCCACTTAATCTACTCTGAGTTCCCTCTGGTCTCCTTCCAAACTGGCTCAGAGTATCCTGTGCAAGCTCTGAGAAGCCATTTCTGCTCCAAATTATAAGGGGAATCAAGTGTGCTTTCATCTTTCCACTTCTACAACAGCAAGTCAGGAAAAAGGAGAGATCATGCATTTTCAGCCAATCACCACGACCGGGGTAAAAAGACAGAGTACTGGCCATGGTGCCTACAACTGACCAAAACAATCAGTTGGTTCATCAACAAGTCTGTTCAATTAGTTGCTTTGTGTTGTGAAAAATGCACTACAAGGTTTGTTTTGATTGGTGTCCATGTCTTCATTCACTGGACAATGTCTGAAATCTTGACATCACCAAGGGCAACCTTGAGGCCTAGTGATGCCTCCAAAACCAGCGTCAGGACCTGGACTCCAGAAGCCTGAAAACTTGTGGGATTCAACTGCAGGTGTCCAAGGGAGATGAGAGGATTTGACATATAGGCTTATCTGAAACTCCTTTTCCGCAAAGATTTCCCATCCTGAGCAGCTCTATCCACACACGACCCTCTCACTGGCCCAGTGCACAACCCTGCTTACTCCCCCTACCCTTAAAGATCAGACAATGGACCTCAACTGGGGGGCCCTCTGTACCCCCACACAACTCTTAAGAGACCACATTCTCTCATGACTTTCTGGAGAGAACCAGTTCTCCCTAAGAGACTGTGGGATGAAAGTCTTCCCCTCTGCAGAGACAGCTGTTTCCAGAGGAATGATGTTTCATAAATGCAGAAGTAATGGAAGAACTGGGCTTCCCGGGTGGCTCAGTGGTATAGAATCTACCTGCAGTGCAGGAGATGTGGATTTTGCCACAGGGTCGGGAAGATCCCCTGGAGAAGGAAATGGCAACCCACTTCGGTATTCTTGCCTGGGAAATCCCACGGACAGAGGAGCCTGGAGGGCTCTGGTCCATGGGGTGGCAAAGAAGTTGGACACGACTTAGCGACTACACAACAACAGTGGGATAATTAGGAAGTTCCCAGTGTGCAGTGGTCAATGAAATAATTAAGTTAGAGAAGGCGATTTTATGCAGGGCCCTATGAAGGTGTGGAGAATTGGTGAAGCATAGAGATAACTGGAAAAAGAACAACATTCTCCATTTTCAGTCGACACATCTGGCTGTCAGGGCCTTCAGGAGGGATCAAACTTGGCGTCTCTCATACCGAATCAACCTGATACTATAGGATGCAGAATCCAGCACACAGCATCACCAATGCTGTGTTCTAGGTAAAAACACTTAAGTTAAATCAAAACTCAAGCCTGCAGCCTTTCTGGTTTATAAGAAGGGCTTGGACAGCAAAGTAAATGATTCCAGGGAGAAAAGACCAGATAGGTGCAGAGAGCAGCGCATTCTGTATCAATTTTTCTGGTCTCTTGAAAAATGTCAGTGTCAGAAAAAGAGTGGGAATGTTCTAGTACAAAATCAGCTAAAAAGGAGCAATATTCATAACAAACATGGATCCAGATCAACTCCTAAGTCAACTAACCAGAGTGAAACAGTTTGGAGGAAGTTTCAACATGATGATGTATTGAATGATATTGTAGAATTATTGTTCACATTGTTAGGTGTAATAATAGCACACTGCTTGCTAGAATGACTTTATTTTTAGGAGATGCCTGCCTAATTATTGAAGGGTCTTGATACCTGAAACTTGATTTTAAATGATTCAGCAAAAACAGTGAAGTGAAGTGAAGACTCTCAGTAGTGTCAGACTCTTAGCGACCCCATGGACTGTAGCCTACCAGGCTCCTCCTTCCTTGAAATTTTCCAGGCAAAAATACTGGAGTGGGTTGCCATTTCCTTCTCCAGGGGATCTCCCCAACCCAGGGATCAAACCTAGGTCTCCTGCATTGCAGGCAGATGCTTTACCCTCTGAGCCCCCACAGTATGTACAGGTAAAGCTGATATAACAAAATGTTAGCAGTAATTGGATCTCCTGGGTGGATGGGGAGACTTGTGTTATGTGCTCCCCTTCTCTAAGAGCTTGAAATTTTTCCATGATAAAAATTTAGAGAAAAATAAAATGTCAGGTACTAAGTCAGTAAAAAAAATTCTCCATCTCTGTGCTCAAACTGTCAAGTCAAATCTAGGATTATGGGAATAAAATTAAAAGATACAATCATTTATCTCTGTATACTTTTGAAAACCACGTGATCCCAGGCATGACTGTAATTTGAGCAAATATGTATTATCATGTGGACTTCCCAGGTGGCGCTAGTGGTAAAGAACCCGCCTGCCAGTGCAGGTAGACTGAAGAGACTTGATCCCTCGGTTGGGAAGATCCCCTGGAGGAGGGCATGAGAACCCACTACAGTATTCTTGCCTGGAAAATGCCATGGACAGAGCAGCCTGGTGGGCTACGGTCCATTGGGTGACAAAGAATTGGACTCAACTGAACATACACAGACACACACACACACACACACACACACACTTTATATCCTTATGTGTACTTTTTAGAAAGGAAATACACTATTTTTACAGCACATTAGTGCCTGAAACATGGCCTGCAGGTGCCACATGGTGAAAAGACATCCAGTTTTGACTCTAACCCGCAGGGAAGTCTTCCCCAGCAGAACTGAGATTCTGTAGAAGGAGTTGTAGGAATAGAGAAGCTGGGAAAGCTAGACACTTGTGCCTATAAATGCACCTTATTTCCTGCCTTCTTGCCTCTGCCTCTTGGATCTCTGTCTTGCTCTTATCCTGAGTGAGTGAGTGTATATGCTACTCTTTTGGGGTTTCAGGGGTCGATCCTTAAAGATGCAATGTGGTGTGAGTTCACACGTGTGGACCAATGATGGGAGCTCTGGGCAGGGGGTGGGGTAGGGTAGGTTGGCCACAGGGAAGGGTACCCAGTAGAAAAGAGCCCCTGGGGTGCCCTGGTCTTGTGGTTTCCAGCAGATCACCACAGTGGAAGTTATTTACATAGTGCTGGAGAGAAATGAAGTGAAAGTGACTCAGTCATGTCTGACTCTTTGCCACCCCATGGACTATACAGTCCATGGAATTCTCCAGGCCAGAATGCTGGAGTGGGTAGCCTTTCGCTTCTCCAGGGGATCTTCCCAACACAGGGATTGAACCCAGGTCTCCTGCATTGCAGGCGGATTCTTTACCAGCTGAGCCACAAGGGAAGCCCAAGATCCTGGAGTGGGTGGCCGATCCCTTTTCCAGTAGATCTTTCTGGTCCAGGAATTGAACCGGGATCTC